TCTTCATAACCTGTGTTGTCTGTCCTATCTTAGCATTCAAGTCACCCATCAAAATTTTTAAGTTGCCTTTTCTTTCATTATTTTTTTTTTTTTTTTTTAAGCTGCATGTAAAATTCTTCCTTAACAGATGCATCTTTATCATTTGTTGGTGCATAACACTGTATTACCGACATGTTCACCCCTCTGTTTCACTGTTATTACCCTGAGACTCACAGCTTTCCATTCTATTAGTGCCCTGTCTGCTTCTTTTGATAGCATCATGGCACTCCTTCTCTGTGGGGCGAATTTTTATCTGTGTGTCCTGAGAGCAAAATAGTTTCCCCTGAATTTAGAATACTTTTCTCCGCCCCAGTCCATCTAGTTTCACCTAACCCTAAAATACTAATTCTATAATGTTTCATTTCCTTTGCTACTTCCATTGTTCTCCCTACAACATAGAGAGTTCTGTGGTGATTACCGGCACCTTTCTAGATACTTTGTACTGTGTTCTAGACAGAAAATGTCCCGGTAACAGTTATGTTATAATTCGTGACCGAGATCATGCGAACGGTCCAATGTGGGACATAGTATGCAGCATTTATAGGTACATTTATAGGCGTACTTATCCTTTTCAAATATATAAAGTGCGGTCTTTCTTAAGGGGTCACTACACGGCGTTTGTTACAATTTGTGACAAAATATCACTCTTTTAATGTGTTAGTTTTTGTAAAGTTCAGCATTCCTAGAATAGATTAAATACACAATGTATGTCATTTGTAAACGATTTAGCATTGAAAAGGCAATACTAAAGACACCACCCCGTGCACTTTAAAAAAAAACAAAAAACAAGTTTAAAAGCCTGTTTTCTCACAACTCTATATTTCTGTATGTTGTATGTAACTAGAAACATGAAATTGTGTGTAGATACTCCTTAAAGAAAATTACAGGGGCAGGTCTATTTAAAAGTTGATTTTTTAGAAAGTTTCTTTTTTTTTTTTTTCAATTTGATTATTGTAAAATGATACTACAATTTGTGTGTGTGTGTGTGCGTGTGTGTTTTGTGTGTGTGTATGTGTGTGTGTGTTGTGTGTGTGTGTGTGTGTAAGTTAGTGACCTTTTCAACAAACCTACACTTTAAAATTCTAAGGAAAATATTTAGAAACATCTATAAAGTCAATAAACTACACATGTATCTCTACATAGGATTCAAGTTTAGGAATCCATCATTTATTTCTAAAAAAAATATCTGTGCATTTGATATTTTTATGTCTAAGAAATAAGAGCTTTTACTGTACATAAACATGACCTCATTTAGATTTTGAAATGCATGTTTGTTGCCCAGGTTAAGGAATAGTTTAAAAAAATTTTTTTCGCATGCACATGAGTACGGGTTGAACCAGGTATACGCGATTTGAGATGTTGGTCTGCCATCCGCATTGATTTTTTTTGCAATCTTATCTTGGTGAATCTGGATCATAAGGGTCATTCATTCATTCAAGTAGACAAATAATCCGGAAAACCTTCCTATCATGAGCTGTCCATCACCCATCTGATTCTGAACCCCCATCTTCTCCTTGGCCTTGCTCTTCACAGTATACCTCTCCATTAGTTCTCTCTAGACCTCCATGACGTTTCAAGTGACCAAAATATTTCAATTTTCTTTGTTTTATTGTCTTTACTAGCCAACCCTCTTCAATATTCAGCTCTTGAAGTATGGATGCATTTGTTCTTTTCTTTACCCAAGATATTCTTAGAACCTGTCTGTAACATTTATGGGTAACAAGGGTCATTAAAGACAAATAATTCAGGCTCCATCGAGATCTGAACCCGTGGCCTAACAGTTAACAGCTGATCATCTGGCCGCTGCACCACACTGGGTCCCTTAAGTATATATGTGTCTGTACATATACATGTATGTGTATGCTGACACGTATAAATACATTCCTTCTTACACACACACACACATATATATATATATATATATGCAAACGTATACGTGCATATGAGCATGTATGTGTTGTGTGTGTGTGTATATATATATATTAATAAGTACACACGTATATGTATATATACTTGTACATGTATGTCTATATATGTGTGTGTGGGTGTATATATTGCATACCAGCCCCCTCACAAACAACCCCCACTAGGGACTAGAGTACCGTTTGGAGCCACTAGTTGTGGTGCATTTAAACTTTTATTAGCCAACAGAAAGAAACGAGACCACAGTTATAACCGATACTGATCATAGTAGGTTAAACGTGGTCGATTTTTTGTTTTTTGTTTTATAAGTGGATGGATGGATTGGGTGCTAAACCGGAAGGTAGCAGTCCGGACGGGACAAACGAGACGCTCGCAGTTCACTGCCACATCTAGTTAGAGTTCAGTCTGCATACAGATGCGTCATTGGCAGTGTCTTTATTTTTCTTGTAGTCATATTTTCCCCATGTTCTAGACCAGTGGTTCTGAACCTATAGGTCGAACGATCCTTCCAGGGGTCGCCAAAGAGCATCGGAAAACAAATATTTACTGAAGTTATGAAGTAACAACGAAAATAATGTTTTGATTGTGGTCGATTTAGCACGAGGAAATGTATTAGACTGTAGCGGCGTTAGGAAGGTTAAGAGCCGCTGTACTAGACAGATGGTTCCAAGCCTGTGGTCGGCATACTCCAGGGGCCTGTGGAACAAAACTATAAGGTCTGTAAAAAATTTAAAAAAATTTCAGTTTAGCATTTTAATACGGCTGGTATCTTATTCGTCTTCGCGTTCACAGGTTGATAAAATCAGGTGGACAGTTCTTGTTGCTCGTTCACCTTTAGTCTTGTTCCAGATGTTGAGTGTTGGGTGCCAATCTGTTTAACAGATCCAGCATATTCTATGCAAACTGCTGGTTTCTTGCCTGTCGGGCAGAAGCACTCCGACTTTAAAAGAAAACCCCCCAAATTAGTCGACACTTAATATTAAATGGTATGTCAGAATCACTAATGTTCAACTATGGGACAGAACTAAACAAGTTCCAGTAGAGCACGAGATGAAAAAAAAAAAAGACTCTAACATTGGATAGGACACACGCTGAGATAAGTAGAACGTGACTGCATTGGAACTTACAGGGGCGTAAAAAAAAAAAAAAAAAACTATGGGAGCTAGAGAATGGCGTTAAAAAGATGGGACGGACTTAGTGAGAGCTGTATGCAATAGCAAATGGTAAAACTAATTGGCGTGAGTTGGTTAAGGGCTGATGCTTCACGAGGGAATAAAATCAGAGGAAGCAGGAAATTGGCTTTTGCTTATAAGACAGGTCTGCAAGTCTGATCTAATTAGGAGCCACTATTCCAGACAAGGCTTTCTCGAGAACTACAATGCACAGGGTGTCCTTGTTATCCTGTACCCACTGTCAATCTTTTTATTCACTGAGTCTTCTTTAAAGTTCTTTCTTTAGTTTACTGTTCTCTCGAAATCATTTTGTGTTTAATATGGCCAAAGTATTGTAGTTTACAAGAAATCATGATGTTTATAAGCCGGTCTTTCTGACTATTAAGATAGTTAAGAATGTCGGTAAATTTCTATTGGTAGGTCAATAATATTCTGAGAATCCCTGTTGTGTTCAACCTTGCTGTTAGTCATTATATGCATTGCATTTAGGATGATAACTCATCATCATTATCATGTACCATGCCTGTAAGCTTGGGTTGTCATGTTTCGGCATATCGCACAATCACCAGAATCATGGATCATGACGACGTTCTTGTCTTGCTCCGTTCTTCTGGTCCAACCATCCAGGTATTTATCTCTTTAAATTCCCGTTGCTCTCTCTCTCGAGCCCATTCCTTATTATAACATGTTAAAAAATCATCATCTGTCTACATCTAATTTTTTAAATAACTGCACAATTTCACTCGTTAAGATGACGATTGCTTGGTTTGTTTTTCTATCACTTCCTTACATTCTTTGCATTTTTCAAAATAAAAAAAAAATAAAAATACATCTCTGCTGCGAGGAAATGTCTTCAGCTTCTCGAAAATTGTCCATGTCTCACACATATATAACAAGACAGGCTCTGCGTGGTAGTTTTACACTGATTTTCTCACTGTAAATGACAACTTTTTAAAGAGCATATTTTGCATCTTTCTAAAAAACACTTTGTCATGGCGATTCTTATTTTAATTTCTACAGGTCCTCTTGCATGAGATATTACAACTATTCTAAAATAGCTGTATCTATTGACTTGCTTAATAATTTGACCGTCAACGTTTATTTTATTTCTTTGCATTACTTTCTATGTACCGGACATTGTTCAGAAATAACATTGGCTCCCAGGTCGATTCAGCCTTGAATGGGTACTAGGTGGAGTCCTTGTGAAGTAAAGGCAGCCCGCGAAATATTTACCAGATCCCACACTGAGTGCCGATTGGCCTTTAATATATAAGTTTAACCCTATATGCCCAATATGCGTAAGAAAGAGTCGTTTTTTATGGTGATGAGCTTAATTCCTCTATTTGTTTTTAAACAATGTTAACTGTAAGCCTAGTTTCTCACTATGAACTATTATTGCATTTCATGACCACTGCGTATTCTTTTCATGGTCTGCAATTTGAATCCGTATCATTAGCGTGTCTTATACTGTTGAAAAATGAAACGTTATATAATTAGCCTTGTCATGAATACCCATACATTAAATAACTACATCGTTAAACATTGTCCCACATTCGAGTGTTGTTTTTGAGGGTAAGAATTATCACACAAATAGTGCTTTAGTAAAGAATGTAATGTGGCGTGATAATATTTAAACTGCACATGTCATCTTAAGAGGTAATCTTTGGCCTGTAAAACTGTCATTACATTATACAACAGCTTTGTTCTTTCTGAACACATGTATATAAGCAGAGAAAAATAAATCTATTAGCTGTTCACTTCAAGACTTAGACGTTGCACTCAAGTAGTTTGTGTGTGATCGAGTGAATTCTGCAAAATATTACCTTATATTGTTTGCACTTCTCTGTTAGACCAAATCTTTTCGAAATGTCATCACAATTCGATGGAAAGGTTGCTATAGTAACAGGTTCCAGCGCAGGACTGGGGGAAGCTATAGCACTTTTGTTTGCTGCCAGAGGGGCAAGAGTTACTCTGTGTGGCCGTGATCAAGACAGGCTCAAGTCCGTGCTGGACAAAACTGTGAAGGTCAGTGGCGGACACGAGGACCGGTTTCTTACAGTTCTAGGAGACTTAACCGACGCAAATGTTCGGAAAGAAATACTCGAACAAACCGTGAACAAGTTTGGACAACTGGATATTCTTGTAGCTAACGCAGGTATCGGTGGAAGTAACGCATTTGAAACTGAAACTGAGGAAAACTTCAACAAAGTTTTTGACACAAATCTGAAATCCGTGTTTTTTCTGATTCAAAAAGCCGTACCTCACCTGGAGAAGACCAAGGGAAATGTCGTGAACATCTCCTCTATTGCATCATCTGTAATTATCCCATCAGCTCCTACATATTCGCTGACAAAAGCAGCCCTCGATCATCTAACTCGATGCTTGGCCGTAGACCTGGGATCAAAAGGTATCCGTGTGAATGCTGTGAATCCTGGATGTTTCCCAACACTTATCGTCAGAGATCTAGGGGATCCTGATGTTGTTAACAGACAAATCCAGAAAGTAGAACAACTGCGAGTGCCATTAAAAGACAGAATCGGAGTTTTACAAGATGTCGCTGAGGCGGTGGCGTTTTTAGCATCGGATGCTGCTGGCTTTATAACTGGTGAACTGGTCAAAGTTGATGGAGGAAGAAGCTATTCGGGTCTACTTACATACTCACTTGACAAGTAAAAATCTATTAACGCTTTTATAGAAATAAATCAGATTTTCAGAGACGCTTTTATGTTCAGTAAGGTATTCTTAAAAACATAAATGGTATTCGTGTCTCAGTTTTTTTCTTTTTGTTCTACTTGTTGGGATTATTATCATCTCTATGTATGATTGTTTCCAAAAAAATTACATAAATGGAGGTTACTACGACTAATAATTATACATATTTAGGGAGAAAAAAAGTAATTAAAAAAAATGAGATGGATTGTTTGTTAACTCTGGTGATTTTTCATATGTTGTCATTTGATTGGGCTTTTGTGTTACTGCATTTATGTTTGTTGGTTTTCGAGTGTACTTCTGTAATAATTTCATAAGGCATATTTTGTTTTAAAAACAGGACACAAAAACATACAATAACATAACAAAAACGTGTCTCTGTAAATTGTGCGTGTCTATTCACACATTTGAACATTGAATATTACAGACAAGCACACATACATAGACACTGGTATGTGTCTATATTCTACTGGCACCTTTCCGTCTTCCCAGACGATAGTGTTATGTTGCACTATGAGGGAGCATGGGACTAACATCCCATGGCGATGGTGAGCGTGACTAGCATTTTGAAATCAAGTTAAGACATTAAGGAGACACATTGAGACTAAAACCAACGTTGCTGGATCAACGTATATAATAAGGGTGACTGCATAGACCTGTGCCGATACTTCAGGTCTAAAACACAAAAAAAATATGTATGTGTGTAGGTAAGTTGTACCTCACTAGGACATCACACAAAGCGATAGACACTCGGTGACACAAAGTGCCACTATGCGGATAAGGATCACCTGTGGAGAGGTCCCTGAAACCCCGCTCAGCAGTTGAGGTCGTATTTATGGCCCGGCTATATTCAAGGCCCCGGACAAAGGCCAGGGTGGGGCTTCAAATAACACAAAATTGCATCCCATATAGTGACGACTGACATACAGAAAAAGAAATTCTCCGCCGGGGCTGTTTGTATAAGATGATATCTTTTAATGTGGCTGAATAGTTCATCTATGCCTCTTTGTTATTTCCCATTCTTTATACTTCTTGATGTAAGTACTTATCCACGGTTCTAGGGTAAGAAAAAAATTTTGCTGTACCACTTTGTTTCTTGTGTTCCAGGTTTGGGTTCTGAAGCCGCATTGGAAAAAGGGGAGAGGGGGGGGGGGTGTTTAACCCACTGCACTCTAATAAACATGATGTACAGACAGACTAATTAGAAATCTTTCCTTTCAAGTCGGAGTGCATCTGCATGAGAGACGGGGGACCTACAGTTTGCAAACAAATAGGGCAGATCTGTCAAACGGATGTGCACGCAAGACTCAAGCTCATAACAAGGAACAAAACAAGTGGATGAACAACCAGAACTTTCCGTCGTTGTTTACAACCGGTGAACGCCGATAAAAAAGATTCGTATGTAGTGTCAAAATATATTATCACATAGTTATGTTATCACATATTCAACTGAAAGTAAACAGATGAACGTTAGGCATATAGTTAAAATGACAGAGTTACATCCCTTCACAGGGCCGCAAAAAAAGCATTTTCAGTAAAATCTGCTTCTTAAAGTCCACGCCGCGATGCTTCGGTAGTCATGTCTATCCACAACCTTCTAAAGCGTGTACTTTCAATCAACTCTGACCCATATGATCCACCATGCCATGATGTCAAACCGTCTAGCATTTGTTCTCTTGGTCTCCCTCTGCCTCTCCTCCTCTTTAAGTTTCCTACCATCACGATGTACTCCAGCTTTCTCCTTCTCATCACATGACCACAGAATGAAGATTGTCTCTTTCTGATGTGGGCACTCAGTTCTCTTCGTGAGTCAGTTTCTTCCAAGACATCCTCATTACTATTTTTATCTGTCCAGGGTATTCTCATAACTGGTCTATAAAACTAAATCTCCACAGCTTCCAAAAAAGATTTAGCAGCTGTCCATGATTCACTTTCGTATATCAAGAGATGATTTATATAACTTTTGAGAATTCTATTTCTCGACTCATCTGACAAAGAAAGATTGCACACAGTTTTCTTCATTTTATAAAATGCTGCCTTTACGTGAGCTATTCTTTAAAACATCTTTCATCTGATGTTATTAGGGTACCCAAGTACTTAAACAATCAACTTGCTTGAGGTTTGTCCCATTTACTTTGCATTTTAGAGGGTCAGTTTTCTTTGTAATTTTCTTTGTTTAAGACACTGACTACTCATCTTTTTAACTTCACTCTCTTAGTTCCCTTTGTGTGTGTGTGTGTATGTTTTTTTTGTGTGTGGAAAATTTGGAGAAGAGGGGGGGGGGGGGGGGGGTTCAGGGGGGGGGGGGCTTTTTTTTTTATGCCACTGTGAGTTCCAGTGCAAAGATATTCTAGTTATAATATTCTCAGGTTTTCACAGCGTGTGTCCTATCCAACACCAGAGTCCTTTCTTCACCTCGTGGTCCATTGAAATTTGTTTAGTTTTGCCCCAAACCTCAACAGTAGTGATTCTGTCATACTATCAAATTACCTCTATTTTTCCCTTTTGATCCGTATTTTAATATCGCTATCAGTATCTACATTACTGCCCTAATATGTGTGTGACTCCACATCTTGGAGCGAGATACCATTAGGAGAAAACGCATTACCATCTACCTGGTTTATTGTCATTATCTGTATCTTACTCTTATGAATTTGTAGACTCAGTTGTTGAGATCTGGTATCAAGTATATCTACCCTGTTTATAACTTTATAGATTTGAAACTTTATAACAGCAATATTTCAAGCGTGAGTCAGGGGACCTCATTGTTGAGAGAAGAGGACAGAAACACTACCTGCCCATCAAGTGTCGACTAAATAGGGGCTTCTTTTGAAGTCTGGATGCATCTGCCCGAGGGACACATACACAAAAACGAGCAGTTTGCATAGAAATATTCAGCCTGTAGTCCGGTGCCTGTGCATGCGAATAATTTTGGTTTCATTATTTAACCTGGACATCGAGCAGGCTTTTAGAAAGTCTAAATATATAAAAAGTCCTGTATATATAAGGAAAAGCTTGTATTTCTTGGACATACAAATATCAAATGTACAGTTTTTTTTTGCCTGGCTCGCTAGCGTAGTTGATTAAACCTGATTTCGCGGCGACCGGATGAAGAACTCCTTGTGGTCCGGGTTCACGTCCGGGGTTTGGTAGAAAAGATTAATTTCACCCAGATTTACGGTATCTATCATGAAAGCAAGGCCGAAGGGTTGTGATATCCATAGTATCGAGCAATATGGTTTACAACTCATGGTATCTAG